TATCCACATTGTGTTTTTCTTAATATTTAGACCGATTGAAGGTCTGGTATTAATGGCTTACAGTTGATTTAAATTTCATTTATGTTCATCATTTTTTTTACTTTATTCGTCCATATAAGTACATTATAGAAATGCATTACATGCAGTACCTTATGCTAAGGCTTGTCCTAACGTTGTAGAAGCGTAATTGCTGAATACAATGATTGATTGGTTGATTGATTGATTGATTTATTGATTGATTGATTAATATCATATCCATCTTCATTTTTTTTACTTTATTCCTCCATAAGTACATAATAGAATGCATTGCATGCATTACCTTATGGCTTGTCCCGTCATTGTAAAAGAGTAATTGCTGAATACAATGATTGATTGATTGATTGGTTAATTGAAATTAAATACATGTTAATTTTTTCTTGTTTCAAGGTATTTCTGTTCTTTTGTATGTATTACGATTGATTGACTGATTGCAACGATTGATTGATTGATTGCTTAAGCAGATAACATGTTGTCTATTTGTCACAGAAAATGTACTAGTGTGAACAGAGCATAGCAGCATAAGGTCACGTATATGCTGCCCGTGGTTGCCCTACATCATGATGTTTCAGCACTGCTGAACCGATGTTTTCATCGATCTATCATCAAATTCTCCTCATAATAGCACTATTATCATTTACTTATTATCTCAATGCTATTATATAATTATATATAAAACCAACGCTATATATACATTATGCATATAGGCCTACTCGTATAAGCTTAGGCCTTCGTCAGATAGAAAGAGAGAAGTTAAAGAGAGGGAAAGGGGGTAGATAGGGAAGGGAAGAGATAAACATATATAATTATGAGTGGTCGCGTGCACTTGCCTTATATAGTTGAAAGAAAATTATCAACATTTTCTATCGCTTTGGAACGTCGTAAAGGCTCCTAATACTTTCTCAATCATCTAATTCGTTCGCGCGAGATGTCAGTGCTTATCATGGTTGCTCGAGGTTATGGCTGAATATAGTGTTGTCATAGAAACAGTGACGACGTGCGTTTTATGACGTTAATGAAATACAGTTTATCCTTTCAATATCGTTACTACTGCTAATTCGGTATATGTAATAATTCGAACACACACACTAATAATTCGGCAATAATAATAGGTATAGCTATAGGCCTTTCTAATCATATCCCCTTAAATTATTGAGCACGTCGCTATCAACTTTTTATTGTGTATTGTTATTGCACAATATCAGACAGGTAATTTGATAGGCATTTAGTTACCAATATAATCAATATCATCATCACAAAGATTGGTAATAAGACGAGGTGATGGCAGATAGCTCAGAATGTAATGGATTTTTTTGTGTATAATTAAGTGAATTATTAGGAAACTACATGTTTTTATATTTACTGTGAAAGTGCGTCCACACAATATAAATTTATTAACGGACTCACGTGGCTTATTCACACCTGTGTTATACCACAAGATGAAGGGCGTTGCCCCAAAGGTCAGTGTTAGTTACTGCAACTATTTAATTTTGCTTCATACGTTTTACTTCATTTTACTGTTAGTGCAGATGCTTATTCGTTTAATTGCATATAGGCCTATATAGGGCTCTTTAAATATATATTTATTGCCCTTTTGCATAATGTAGAAAATGCCGGTACGGTACATAGGCCTATATAAATGTATATATAAATAATAAAATCAATACTTTATAATTGGAACCAATGTTGTAAGGCCTACACAAGCGCAATAGGGTGGGTGTCTGTTGGAACACGTGTCAAGAATTGCAAATTTCTCAAGATCTCTACAATTACGGTATATCTGCAATCACATACCTATACATAAAATACTGTAGTTTTTAGAACTTTGCTTAAGCCCCACCGGGCACAGCCCGGTGAACACTGCTTGGGGATTTTTTCTGGCCTCTAAACCACGCCAGTGGTGTATCCACGGAGTACGTGGGAAGGTGAGTGCGCACGTCCACCCACCCAAACAGATATGATCCACCCACTGTCGGCCAATCACCTCATACAACCTTTGTATTTTGCTAGTTACCGCCCCTCACTATCATCGAGCCCTCAAACTTCACCTTCGCGCCCTCACCTCATCAGTCACATTAGTTCAATACCCCTAGATACACCATTGGTCCCCGCCACTGGGACCCCTGCAGCTACGCTGCCCCGTTATCCAGGTCCCTCTCGGCGGTCCTGATAATTCTATATAGGCCTAGCTCTCTTCAACCAAAATTGCCCAGTCGTCCAGGTTCCTCTCGGCAGCCCTATGATAATTTTATCTCTTCAACCAAAAGTTTCTTTCAATTGTATGAAAAAGCATGTACACGGTGGGATTTGAAACTGCAATCTCTTGCTATCAAGGCGAGCGCCCTACCACTTGATCACAGACACTTATTGCAGATCCATTCAACCAACGCAAGGAATCTGATGTACATACGTTTATTCAATTTTCCGATGCGGTTCTTTCTGTACACCGTAGCCCCAGATTATGAGGGCGTATATCAGTTGTGTGAGGTAAAGTTGGATAGTTTGATTTGAATCTGATAGAATAATATACCAACAAAAGGTCTTGGTGGTCCATCCTAGAGGGATGGATGTATAGTGATTTTGTTATAATATTTGGTTATGTAATGCGTTGATCTTGGTTATAATACATTCAACCATCCACCACAATATCCTATCACCAAATTTATGGCGCAAACGAAATAACTAACAGTGCCCTTTATTGTAACCGACCATAACAAACCACAAGAACAAACCAAATAATAAATAGGCCTAATTGATTTAACGGTAACTCAACAGAAGACAAAATGATATTGTTACTCTCCTGAAAGAAACATTATATTTTTAGCGAAAGTTGGATCTCACTTCACTTACATAGTGATATTTCAAGTGATGGACAACTTAAAATACCGGTAGGTCTATTCATGCTATTTAAAGTTTATAATTTTCGGTGGTATTCAGTTAGGCCTATCAACTTAATATAAAGGTGGTTTTTTGGGGGTTTTTTTTTTAGTGTGTGTGAGTTTCGGATTTTTAGATTTAACTCAACCGTTAACCCCGTACAAATAATATGTCGGTGACAATATAGGCCTTTCCGGAGGTCAAACAAACTTTACAACTGACCAATCAGAACAGGGCCAGGAACACGCCTGTTTATCACAAACACATGTTGTCCCGGAAACGCACATCGTGTTTGCGTATGTTTTTACACTGTGTTCAAATACGGCAGCTAGATCACAAACATAGGCGCTAACCTGTGCGTTCATACAAGAAAATCCCTATCCAGATACCAAGAAGATGGTGATCGAATCACTGGCCAATAGAAAACTGGAAATTGGAAACGCGCACGTGTGATTGGTTGATGATAGAAACGCGCACAACCTGCTAACCGATAGCTAACTAAGCTAGCTAAGCTAGATCCTGGTAACGGTTAGCTCCCGATCTGGACACTAGCTCTCGTGTGAACCTGACCACTGTCGTTTTGTTAGACCTTAGCAACAATATACAATGGGCGGGGCTTAGTGGAAAGGTCCATTATTATTGGACGTTGATGTTTTGAATTTACGGTACGGCAATAGGTGGTTTTACTAATTGATCATTCGTTATCCTGGAACTTTTCATCTGTCATAAAATCATTTAATTATACTCTGTGTATCGTAAATTCAACATGTTTTATCATACCCCATGAATTATCATAAGTTTCTATTGGATGTATTTAACAACATTTCATCATACACAGGCCCGTAGCCAGGTTCTTCCAAGATTTTTGTGCTTTATGGGTCTAATTAATGCTAATGCAGACATGTTTGAAAAGGTCTTTGTCTGGGTGGGTCTGCAGTGCATTAGTTGGGTTGGAGGACTTATTTGCGAAATTTGAAGAGGGGGGTTCGTCAGAAAAGAGGGGGGTTTGCTAGAAAAGGGGGGGTTCTCCCGAACCCTAAAAACCCTCCCTGGATACGGGCCTGATACAGCTTTTGTGATTAGTGGATTAGTGGAGCGCCCTCATTTTGTTGTTTCAAAATTATGGTAAAAAAAGCGACGAGGTCGATTCTGGTTTTGGTTCTGATGGGTAAAGATCGACCTCCAAGGATTCGAAAAGTGTAAGCCTAAAACAGGAGGGGTAGACATATTGTCGAATGACAGGAAAGAGCCACCACCGCAGTTTAAGACGCGCAGCGTCAGCGTCAATCACAGGTTTGCCTTACTAGCTTCTGGCCGCATTGATCGGAGGGTTTAGAGGTAGAGTAAGCGGTTTCCTCCCCTGCTTTCTTGTTCTTGTTATGTAATGATTTCGTGGGTTACTATTACTTTAAATCGATACCGACTATTTTCTTTTTAATCTCAGGCGCCTGAGCTTTTTCTAATGGATATATTTGCGCTATACAAACAGTGGTGGCACGAGGGGAGAAGTAAGGGGGACAGGGCCCCGCGCCGGGAAACCCTAGTCACATCGCCGAAGAAGCCAAATTATTTCGCCGGGGAACACTGCATTAAAAAGCATTTTTACAGCCTGAAAGTGCCATTTGCGGGCATCTAGGGGTGGCAATCTTGAAATTTGGCGATGGTAGGCTGAGGTTAGGCCTCTGTCTAGTCAGGGATTTTTTACCTCTCATCGGGAAATTTCCGGTGCATACCACATTATAAAGCATTATTATGGTTATCATCGTTCACAACGCCATCGCCATTTTCGTCGTCATTATATGTATTCCTTATTAAATCATTTATTATTTATTATTATTATTATTATTATTATTATTATTATTATTATTATTATTATTATTATTATTATTATTATACGAAGAAATGTAAAACAAGGTGGTCAAGAATTCCACAATGGAAACCGCTGCGCCGACCTTTAAAACCAATTAGTCCAGGCCTGCTATAAATAAAATAAAACTGAAACTGATTGCAAGCAAATTGTATCCATTTAAGCTAAAAGCTTATTTTTAAACTAACACTCTCAATCGATAATAAAATCTTATTATTACCTGAGAAATGCATCAGTACCCACTTCATTTAGGCTTCTCTGTACAGCTTTCCAAGACTTCTGAAGGCTAAACTTGTCACGTGCAGTGAATGGAAGTCTCTTGTCGACAGGCGATTGCTTCTGGGGAGCATCATGGAAAGGAGCGCTTGAGTTTCTTCCCTTCTCAACTGAAGTAGTGCACCCCATACTATTGTCTAAATGCTATCAGTATTTGTATACAGCCGAGTTATATCTTCAGATGTGTACATATAGGCCAAGATTAATCTGTGCAATAAAATAACTTGGTTTTCGTCGGTACGGATAGGCCCACAAATCACATTCTAAAACAAGAGTTGATAGTAAAAAAAGCATTCTTGTTGTTTCTTGCCGGAAATCTACAAAAAATCTTGGTCTGTGAACATCGTTGAAACTAATGACGTTGACCCATAATTTTTGGGACTACCGTTTCGACGAGTCTTCCTTAGTAGGCTAATAGAGTATGATCACTAGTCCACGCGTCGCAGGTCTTCTAAGGCATCGTAGCAATGCTTCCGATGAAGCCTAAAATAGGCCTACACAAAACCTTTAAAAAAAGTAAATCTATATTATCTATGTTATATTGATATTACCCTCCCTTCTTTTATGAAATCATCAATCCTTTAGTGTTTCGAAAAATTAAATGTTTCATACGTACAATTGAAGTTTAATGAAAACTGATCGATTAATCATGTGTGCATTCAATCGTAGTTCAATATTCTTGTTAAACTTAAGGTACGTAACATAATCCAAATAATTGACATAGGACCTTTCAAACCATAAGGGAAACTGTACATCTTTTGAACTTGTTAATTATCACCCTGGTAACAACATTGTGTTATAACTATCACATAACAATACATTTTAATGATGGTTCTGCTTGAGTACATTGTATTACAGGCCACGGAAAGTTCAGTTTTATTGTTTTGATTAAATACATTAGGTGATATTGATTATAGTATGCAACAGGAAAAAGGACATGTCTTGTCTTAGCACACGTTATGTCGCTCTTGGGTCCTCACAGAATATACTTACAGCAAGAACGAGTTGATTTGTTAAAATGTGTTTTAGTAACTATTTAAATAAGCGAGGAATCCAATGTAGGACTTGGCATGACAATTTGTGACTTGTATGCGACCAAACGGAGAGGCCGATGTCCCGGACGATAGCAATTTGGGCGTGTCGGGCGTCGCCCATAATATTTTTCGAAAGTTATCCAAAAGACGAAGCACCCGACGAATATGACAATTTAGGGGTGTCAAAGGCTTACCGTATTTAATCAATTTTAGAGTCTACAAATATGTAGAAAATACATATAACTTTTTTCTCCCCGGCTTGGGAAGTGCATCTCTCGGGGTCACCACCCATGGTCTACGAAGAGATTCTGCTGTGTGTTTGCAGAAGTAAAATGCAATCAAGTAAAATAACACCCGCTCACTTGTTTGGTTGTCAGTTCCAAATGAGTTAATTATGAGTTCAATTTTGTCCATGATTTTGTTGATAAGCAACGGTAAATTAAAATACCCAAATGAAAAGTGGGTAAAACTCTCAGACCCCTGCATAGGCGGATTCAACCCCCCCCCCCACCCTTTTTTGTCAAAATATTTTTTTAAATTAAGAAAAAAGAAAATTCGACTAAAATTTTGAGTCTAGGAGTGCAATTTCCGGCCATCTAGAGGTGCCATAATCATAAATTTTCTTGCCAGCCCCAACCATTAAGTAACAATAAAAAAATATGTTAAAAAAATAAAATAAAAAAATTTATGAATAATTGAGGAGTAAGATCTCTCTCATGGTCATACCTGGCAATGTTATGTCAACTGATGCAAAATCAGTCAGTGACGGCCATATGTTTTCTAGGAAGACAAGTACCGTAACAAGTAATTAACATGGTGGGGCTGAGGTAGCATAGACACTCCACCTGTAAAAGTCCCTCTCTGGGCCCCCTCTATTTCAAATGCCTGGATGCGCCACTCCCCTATGCTTTTGACTACATGCTTTTGCCTATAAGCTACGGTAAAATACCAAAATTAAAGTAAGTAAAACTCTCAGACCCCCGTGCTTTTGACTCCATGCCTTTGTCGATAAGATACGGTAAGACTACCAAAATGATAAGTGGGTTAAACTTTCAGACCCCGTGTTCGACCAGCTTAATTTTTTTTTATCTATCATGTGACAAGTTCTTAAGATGAGGGCGTATGACATTAATCACCGAAGTGTGTAAAACAGGGACTAGGGTTCCTATCTCTAGCAGAGCCGACGAAACCACCACACTATCTCCTAATTTGAATCCGGGAACGTCTGCTGTCTATGCATACGCCCTACCCAACTGGTCCATTAGAATCAACTGAATTTCCACACTCTTTCACCTGCTTTTAATATATATATATATATATATATATATATATTGTGTTGTATAACGATTGATTCAATGTTTGAATGTTAATTTTTTTTTACAATCATATATATCTGTCTCTTATACACATCTAGATGTGTATAAGAGACAGAGATTAATCTGTGCAATAAAATAACTTGGTTTTCGTCGGTACGGATAGGCCCACAAATCACATTCTAAAACAAGAGTTGATAGTAAAAAAAGCATTCTTGTTGGTTCCGTAAACACAAAATAATATACACACGAACAATGTAAACAAACGAGCAGTTTGCTGGTCGTCACAAAAGCAATTTCAATTTTTTTTTTTCAAACCATAAATTAAACAAACATATTAAGAGTCTTGTTTATACGAATTTTTCATTGTTGCTGGTATTATGTTGTGTAGAACCAGGTACAAGATTCAAGTTATCTGTGACTAGCGTAGTCTCCATTTGTCGGACCTGTCACTTCGTTTCTATCTATGTATGCAATACAATACTGTGCCCTAAAAAGAGAAGTCTACATTGTCATCAGTGCTACCTCATGGTCCACTAATTTTGGAATAATTCCACTCAATGATGATATCAAATCTAGTAAAACTGTCTTCAAATATCAGGGAACAGTGAATTTCACTGTTCCCTGCAAATATATATAAACAAAATCTCAAACAATTTTTATTAAGTACAGTAAATACTATTAATGATTATGAATTTTGTAAACTTTTGTGTTCCTGCTGCTGAGATTTGTCATTTTCCTTTTTTAATTACTATGTAATCAATAATTAGTTGTCATGCGATGTATATGACCTACACCTGATGTGTGAAACGTATGCATATTTATATGTATAGGCCTATCACTGAATGCCATTTGATACGGGTACTATTTTTCCTCGTTTTTTGATTTCTTAAAATTAAAATTTATTACATTTATTAGTAGTTAAGACTGTTAGGGGAGGGGTCTCGTTTGTACAAACCTTTGGGTTTTTGAGACTCATTTTTTTTATCATTTTTACATTCTAAGTTCAATTCTTTTCTGTGAAATGTATTGAAATAACAACCAATAAATAAAATTTTTGTATTTTAGGCCTATATTGTTTTCGATCATGATACACTCTATGGTTCTACAAATTCCATCTATATCGTAATTTTATCGTATTTCTAATTTACTGATTAATTGGTTGATCATCTTTAGCTGGCTACGAAGTTATTTTGTTTTGAATGAAGCTCTAGGCCTATATTGTAGTGAGCTATAGCTGAAGAGGCCACTGTGAGTAGGTCTATGCATGTTTTAGGCCTATTGCCAGAATTAAGATAAACGCATTTTAAAAAGATTGAAACCATCATGTAATAAGATCTACCGTATTCATCTCGTTACAATTAAATTAAAATATGAATAGGAACTGACGGAGTCATGTGTGTTAAAGACCTTATCCTATTCAAATTGAAATTGTCATGTCTTAAGCTAATATTTTGCTTGCATAAATATTAGGAACAATGAAAAAGCCATAAAACCATTCCATTTTTTTAATGGTTATTTAATACACATTTATATTTAGTTATTATTCGGTAAGATATAAAAGCAACGCCATTAATTTCTGCTGTCGACTTTGAACTATTGGATTTCTTTTAATGGAATTGGTGGCTAGGCCTATTTCATGCGACATCCTTATATTTTTCAAATTACGATCAAATACGGTGCTTCATTGTAATTTGTCATTGTCTAGGTATCTTATTTGCACTTGGATACGTAATTTTTAACGTGTCCATGGATACATCATCACAAGGAAACTTAATCATGAAAGTCGAACGAAAATCATCCTCTTTGTTCCATATTTAAATAAGAAATATAGGCCCATTCTGGTAAATAATGTTGTGATCTATTGGAACGGGATTTATACTCACATGCTCATCTTTATACTTGATTAAATTGCACTTAAATATTCACTCGCGTAAAATGGAAAAGAAAATAGATGATATAACTCAAAATATGATGCTCTTGTTCTGTGTTTGACAGTCTGTCCTATTACGGATAATATACCGCCCTCATCAGGCAACATACAAATACTCGTCCCTACTGCGCAATTGTCAACGAACTAACTTCATAAAGCCTACTTATACGCCGGTATAAGCTGACCCCGGAGCGCATACAATCAATCATATTTAAACATGCAGTTAACACGACATAATAATAACAGAAAGTCATCCCAAATGTGCAGCATTTAGTCTATAACATTTTACTGCAGCATTTGAAGATGAATGAAACAATATGTTTAAAATATGTTTTTAGAAACTGATTTATAATTTGTTTGAATAGTCAGAATAATGTTATGTAGTGTGATTGGTACTATCAAGAAGATTTCGAATGTCCCTTAATTTGATTAAGGTATAGGCCTATCTCTTATAGCATTGTATTACTGTTAATAAACAAACTTATCATTAATGTATAATATAGTTATTGTGAAGGAAAACAGTACATTGTAACATCTTAATCAACCACTTTAGCAATGGCGCGGAGCTTTAATAAGATACAATAAGATAAAATGAGTTAATAATTATATTGATAATATACACAATACTAAGGACCACCGTGGTAAAGACGTGTCTCAAACCAGACTCAAACACACTTACACTGGTAAGTACATCAATAAAAAATGGTCTATTATAAATAAAAACGAGTAATCCTGGTATCATTTGGAAATATAGTTGTAAATTGATGCACTAAGCATCCAGAGTAACGTCAGCAAGCAGGAGTCAGAAAACACAGATAGCTCAAACACGACGAAGGAAGTTTTGAATACAGGTTACCAGTGTATACAAGATGTGAAAATCAACTTAGTCTCGATGGTGAAGAAGCGCCGAAAATAGGCAGTGAACGAAATGTTAACTTTACACAAGCATTGGCGTAACGAAGGGGCCGGGGCCCTTTAGTGTCCAATATGCTGGGAGCTCCGAATTCTAAGTTTATGTATCGTGATTTGACCCGAAAAAAGTATACCTAATTTTAACTAATATATCAATAATAAAAATGATAATACAATAAATACCAAACAAAACGATTAAATTAAAATCAATTAATATTTATAGACTACCGTACCGTACTCGCGCAACTTTTTAAAGTTTCAACGAAACGTAAACTGGCGATTGAAGATCATAAAAAGTAGTCGGCAGACTTTG